GTTTTCAGCCATATATGGTAACTCAGATGATTGAGAAAGGTTTCCAGTCATAAATGAGAACTCAGGTGATAACATTTTCAGTCATAAATGATACTCAGGTGGTAGAGAAAAATTTCCATTATAAATGATATTTCAGGTGATAGAGAATTACTGTTTCCAACATAAATACTAACTCGGTTGATTGAGAAAGAAGCTTTTCAGTCGTAAATGGTTACTCAAGTTATTAATTGAAAAAAGTTTCCAGTCATATATGAAAACTGAGATGATACAGAACAAAATATTTTCAGTAATAAAAATAACTCAGATGATTGAGAAAAAAGGATTTCAGTCATAAATGATAACTCAGGTTATAAAGGAAGAATGCTTCGTCATAAATGATAAACCTGGGGATAGAGAAATATTTCCAGTCAGAAATTATAACTTAGGTGATAGAGAACAAAATGTTTTCATTATAAATGGTAACTCAGATGATTGAGAAAAAAGTTTTCCAGTCATAAATGAGAACTCAGGTAATAGAGCGACATTCGGTCATAAATAACTCAGGCGATAGAGAACAAAATGTTTTCATTATAAATGATAACTCAGATGATTTGAGAAAAGGTTTTCAGTCTTAAATATGTGATAGAGGAGGAAATTTTGCCATCATAAAAGATAACGCAGGTGATAGCAGAGGAAGGTTTCGAGTCCCAAATGCTAATTCAGCTGAGAATTCTGGCAGCAGCAGCGCGCCGACAGGAGGCACCGTACGCGCGTCGAAGGGGAGCAGGGCTTCCTCACCTGGACCACAAAGTGGTGTTTCACACCAGGAACTCGGGGCTGCCTCGGGTGGCGGGGGTGTCATCATCACGCTCATTCCGAGGCATGAGTTTCTGCCCTGAGCCACACCCACAGCAGGTGAGATGGCCGGACTCAGTGGTATCAGGTCTCTCCCAGCACTGGGGGTGGCAGGGTGGGGCCGCTCCCCTCGTCATCAGGCTCGGCCTGGGGAGGCTGTGCCAGTCCCACACGGCCCGAGTCGCCTGTCCCTGGAAGCTGCGCATCTCCCCTTCCCCCCACAGGCCACACCTGCTCGGGAAGCTGGGCGGTGAGCTGCAGGAGCAGGGCGGGTGTGGGCCGCTGTCTCCCCCAGGGTCCCCGGCAGGTCCTTCCAGCCTACAGCACCACCAGCGCCCCCTGCTTCACCACCGCCTCGTCTCTCCCAGGGTGAGGCCTGTCCGCTCATCACAATGTGCCGCCCCGGAGTCATTTTCCCAGCCAGGCCTTGGCCTCTCCACACCTCCCCTCAAGAAGCCCAGCTGGATGCCAGCTTTCGGTGGCCCCCGAGGGCTGTGCGGAAGTGGCCTGGGGCAGCAGGGGCTGAGGCTGCCAGAACCCCCGTGCGGTGGGAGCGTCCCGCTGACCACGGCACTTCCCCAGCCCCATGTGTCACTGGGACTGACACCTGGCAGTCAGGGTGCCCCCAACAGTGGGTCCTGGCCTGGGGGTAAGAGCCATTCCTGTGGAGAAGGCTAATGGAGACCTCAGAAACAGCTCCCCACAGACGGTTTACTGAAAGCAAGCGCGCACGGTGGGCAGGTGCAAGGTGACCTGTTACCCATGTGCACGCCAGGCTGGCCCTGCAGGAACTGAGGACCCTGGCACGACAGTGGACTCCCAGGCTGGGCTGAGCAGGGGTCCCATCAGCACGTCCCCACAACTGGGCCAGGTACGGCCTCATGGCTGCAGAGGCACATGGGCCTCAGGCCAGGGCTCGTGCCCACTCCTCATTGGGAGGTCTCACCAAGGACCAGAGGCGGTCACACCCACACGGCTTTCTGGCCAGTGTTCACAGGATGGCCCCGTGGACGTCCTGGGGGCAGTGCTCCGGCTTGCATCACCACAGGAACAGGGCTCCGCCTTCACACTCCTGCCCCGCCTGGGCAGGGCAGCCCCACTGCCTCCCGGCCCTGGGCCAGCGGGAGCAGCCAGCCATGCCCGGTAACGTGCATCTGGGGATTTTGGCCGCATCCCACAAGGTGCCCACCACAGCGTGCGCCAGGCCAGGAGCCAGGTATGACCCCCACCTCATAGCTTGGCCCACCGTTGTCAAGCAGGGGCCTCCTCTGGGAGGATAGGCGGGCGTGGAGATGGCCCATGTCGTCAAGCGAGTCTGCCCTGGGGAGGCAAGAGGCACCGAGGACACGCGTCCCCATGTGCCACCCTCTGCGCATGCCCAGATGTCTGTACACACTCACAGGCAGGCACACGTGCACATACGTGCACACGGACACATGGCCTGGCTGGCCACCTCTGCTGACCAGGCTTCCCACCCTGGGGCCTTGAGCTCTGTCCACCCTCCTGTTCGTCCCACGGAGCAGTGCTCCCCTCTAGTGGCCCTCGGGCACATCCACACAACCCCTGGAACCCACTTTCTGGGAAATGAGTCTAGATGTGGGGGAGCCCCCACTCAGACCCTCACCCTCAGCCCACAGGGCTCTCCGCCCCACCCCACCTGTCCCCGCCCCCGCCCCTGCACTGTGCATCTCTCCATTAGGAACCTGGGCTCCCTCTTCTGCTCAGGCACCTTCCTTCCACCTGGGTACCCACAGCGGGCATTTCGGCAGCAAACCTGTGAAACCAAGTTGTTTCAGTCCTCACCTGCTCCAGCCCCAATGCTGGCGTGGGGGTGTCCCCCTCCTGCCCGGTGCCCACAGACCCCCATTTCAAGGTCTTTGGGAAACCAGAGCCTCAGAGCATAAAACAAGCTAAAAGTTAAGTAATTGTGCGAGCAACTCGTAAATAAAATTCAAAGCATTTTAGGGTGATAACAGAAAACGAGAACATTCTGGGAAAAAATTTAATTCTTAAAAAGACATAACAAAAAATAACATGTTCTTTAAAAATGTGTATAAAACATTAATATGAAATTTATTTTATTTTTTTTCTTTTAATTATTTATTATGAAATAATATGAAATTTATTTTAGCATGAGATAAAAACAAACATAATATTCTGTGGACTATACCAACTATTGGCCAATTTATTTCACATCTGTGAACATGAATCTTCATTTGAGCCGTGATAACGCTGGTTACGAGGGGCATTTGACACGCGTTTCAGCTGAACGCTGAGGGCTGCACCTTGCCCACAGAGGACCATGTCTGACCATTGTGAAGAACACTGTACTTAGAATTTTTTTCTCGGTTTCTAGAACGTAGGAATAGGTTTTCCTTATTCAAGAAGTAGTCTCGGAAATGTGCACTAAATAAAACAAGCTCATTCAGGTAACAATGCTGCCTCCTACCCTGAGGGGTGTGTACATTTTTAATGCTATGATCACAACCTTGTTTCCCTAACCCACAGCAATCATCTTTATTAAACAAATTTTGTGTCTGACTGACCGGAGGGAGGATGAAATGAACACATCTACATAGTCCTTTACAGGCAGACAACAGAACCTGAACTACCACCCTTTCAGACAGTGAAAATGACAGGCCGCCTGTCTTCAACGTGCATTGAACGGGTGTAAGTACAGCACACGGCCTTCAATCACGCTGGGCTCTGCAGGCCCAGCCACGTTGGACGGAGGTTTCCAGGGCAGCGACCTGCGTGTCCACCATTTGAAAACCGCAGCAGAGGCGCCCAGATCAAGCACAAGAGGAAAGCTCCTTCCTGTCTTCAAACTGCTTGTCCACGGCCAGAGACAGGGCCTGCAGGAAGCCCTCGAGGGTGACGGTGGGGGCCTGGAAGGACACACAGGCTCTGCAGGGTGGCCCTCGCCCTCAGGGGCCCTGGCTGCACCCACCCCACCCACAGCGCAGAGAGTGGCTGTCCCACAGCTGTTTGGTGTGAGCCGAGCCCAGCATGGCCACTTCCTCCCAAAGGGCTCAAGGGGGCCCCGGCGTTCAGGTCAGTGCCTCCTACTGCCCAGGAGCCTGTCCCTTTGGAAACGGAGGTAAAAGGAGGCAGACATCCCGAGGGTGTTCAGTGTGACTCCCGGCAAGGTCTCCCCTGCTGAAAGAGTGGGTGGTGGTGCGAAGAGCCCGGGGGCGAGGATGGCGGTGGGACGCTCACCTGGATGTACAGCGCGTGAGCCAGAAAGGGGAGTTTTCTTAGGACGCGGCCGCTGAGGCCCTCACTCCTCCTGCAAACGGAACCAAGTTTGGGGACGTCAATTCCGCGCCAACCGTTGTGTGTCAGGACTAATTTCCCACTCCCATCTCTAAATGTCCCTTCTCCCATGGCCTTTGGAGTGGGGCTGGTCTCCCTGAGTTCCCAGCTACTGCTCAGGTGGGACAGGGTCCCTGCCGCCCTGACACGCCCCCCATGAGCACCGCTGTGCTCAGGGATCGTAACGCCCGCCTGGGAGTGCCAGGTACAGAGCTCAGTGTGGGGCACGGCTGACATCACAGGTTCCCCAAGTAACTAGGCTGGCTCACGTCTTCAGTAGCTTTTGCACAAGCCTCTGAACTGCTCCCCCCGTCCCATCTCCACCGCTTTAAACCACTTCAACAGATAATCCGAAAAAATCATCTTTAAAAACTACTGCTCTTCATGCTTTGTTAAAAAGCTTCCACATGCCTCACGGTCTCAGAATCAAGTTCAGACTCACTGGTCAGAACTCGGAAGCTGCCCCCTCGGCCCTCGGCCCCCCAGTGCCACCACCCGGTCTCTGCAGTACAGCCCACCTGCGGTCCCTGCGCACTCGGCGCCTGTGGCCTTCTCTCCACTTTATCCGATTTGAACTGTCCTCCGAGGCACTGCTCCATTTGCCACCTTCCCCTTGACCCCCAAAGCCTCCTGAGGCCTTGAAAGCGCTACGAGCCTGGGCCTCGCACCCGTGCCAGCGACTCCTGGTCTCAGCGACTCACGTGCCACGCGTCTCTCAGCGCCCAGGTCAGGGCCGCTCACTCTTTTCTCTCCCAAAGCACCAAGCATACGACCCTGCAGTTATTTCCTTTGCTTATTGAAGCAAAAGCTTCTCTTTTAGTTTCTTCTTGCCAATTTGTAAAAATTTAGCAAATATTGTTTGAAATATCATTAACACACCAGGAAAGCCTTAATTTGAACATCTGGCTGCATATAAAAGCATAGCACTTTTTTCATTATCTGATGGCACCTCCGGGAGGCGGTGGACCTCCATCCTCTGGTCCAGGAACCTGGGATCCAGGGGGACCAGGGGCCCCCCCAGCCTGCGTGTGATGACTTAGGATTCCACTTCCTTTCCTCTAACCCCCAAACCACTACCCAGACGGCTACCGTCAATTACAACCCCCCGTTACTATAGCACATGGACTTTTTTTCTTGGTTACAATGAGGTCAATCGCACCTTGAAATTTCACTCAAAAGGAGGCTCAACTTGGACACGTTGTTTTCAATGAAGCCAATCATCTCCAGCTCACGGAGGCTCAGCAGCTGCTGGCGCGGGTATATGATCTGACACTGGGGACAGGGCGGAACGCACACGTCAGCAACAGGACAGCACTCAGCGAGTGAACACAGCACATCACATCTCACAGAAACGCCAACGGGGATCACTTCCCAGGCACCGCTGGGACAGGACACAGGCTGCTCCCCGCCCCCTCTGTGGGTGCGCGTGCACACCCTTCCCCGCCTCGCCCCACTGCTTCCTGAACACAAATAAAACATGGCTCAGAAACCAGCAGCGACCCAGCCTCCTCTGTGTTTTTGGTCAAAATGTGTTGTCACCACATCAGGGCGGGAATCCAGTCTGTTACTCGGTTTCAAGGATGTGTCACAAGCCAGACGGCAGAGCTGGGCCCTAAAGCCGGGACTTGACCTACCTTTCACGTAGCATCTGTTTGCTGTGTGTAAAGTGGGACCCTCACTCAGTGGAATGACAGACCCAGGACCTGAGTGCCTGCATTCGCCACGCAGACAGCACACTGGCCTGCACGCTGGACACTCTGGCATCACCATGCTCAACTGTCAGGATGCCACGGTGACCAAGTGACCACCGCTTAATGAATTCAGACATGCACTGCTTCGACTGGGGAACCCGGAGAGAAGCACATGCTGGACGGCGGTTTGGTGAGGGTCGCGGGTCAATTCAGAAGCAGGGCTTGAATTTGGTGTGCTGTGACTTTCCCGCCTGAGTGAGTGACTGCCGCAGGCTCCCGGCCGCCCCTCCACTGACACACGCCGTCCAGCATGCATGTGCGAGGATGGCCGATGGCAGACTCCTGGCCAAGGGCCACAGGCACATGCCCACAGCCTTCAGGACCGGCCAGATCGCCACGACAACATCAGAATGCCTTTAACACGCGCTCAGCTCCCAGAAGTCTGTGCACTCTAGCCTGAGACCAGCCCCTGGACTCACAGCCCAAGTGTGAGCGTGACACCACACCGAGGTCCTCGGGGGCCTCCAGCAGGACCCGCCATCGCACTGGCTCCTGGGCGGCAATGCATCACATTTCTGCCTGTCACGTGGGACCTCGGGCAAAGCGCCACGGGCCCTCTCCATCTCCCATACCACAGAAAGCAGGACGGAATACGCACACCAGGACAGCGCAGACCCAGCTCTGAGACCAGTGCTGAGGGCGGCGATCCTGTCCCCATCGCAGACGCTGTGCCATCCTTGTTTCGGATGCTGGGGCCCCAGGTCCACAGTGCCAGTGGGGTCGTCAGTCCCACCCACCAGCAGTTACAGTGATGCCATTACTATGATCGCCATGTAAACACCCATTTGTTGGCTGGTTGGTTACTGCCCAGGGCTCCTGGCACCAGGCACACGGCAGGTCCGTTAGACCGAATTATAAGAGACTGACGGTGACCGTCACCATGCTCACTCCTGCTGTGCTCAAGGCCATCGCCAGAACATGGGACCAAAGGGACATGAACACTGAAGCCGATGACAGCCTGTGAACTGTGACCCCCAGTCAGGACAGCCTCCCTGTGAACTGTGACCCCCAGTCAGGATGACCTCCCTGTGAACTGTGACCCC